ACAAACATGAGAATTCAGCCTCCATTGTTGACAAACTTAGATGTTTCTGTCTAATAGACCTCCAACCAATCAATGCTTTTCCCAATAATACAGCAGTACCCGATTTATGTCTGTAGCAAAACTTGCATCAGCATATGCAGTCAAACTCAGTTGTCTTTTGGCTTCAAGCACAATGCATAATTCATTGTCTGTTTCAGATATCTTAACACACGTTTAACAGCTTGGCAGTGCCTTTCAGTTGGCTCAGCATTAAATATCACTAATTGATTAACACTGTATGCAATATCTGGCCTTGACCAATTACTGAGATAAGATAAACTACCAATCAAGGACTGATAAATGTTCTTATCAAAAATAGGATTTTGAACATCACGATGGCTAAACTCCTAGCTCATTGGTGTTTTAGCCGGCTTAGATAGATACAGACAGACAGACAGACAGACAGAGATGATATAGATGGATAAATAGATAGAGACACAGATGGCGTGATAGCAGTTTTCTGATATTTGAGGGGCTGCCCCAAAGAGGAGGGGGTCAGCTTATTTTCCAAAGCCCCTGAAGGCAGGAGAAGAATCATCGGATAGAAACTAATCAAGGAGAGAAAAGTAACTTCATCAGTGCTGGAAGGGAGTGGAGTTTGCTCTCTGTTTATGTACAGGGGCTACAGTAAACAATAGCCTAATGAAGGAACCTCAAAGGAAGGGAACAACATTTCCACCAACACTGTAGGTGCAAGCAACTTGTGATGACCCAAAGGGGCGTGGCACAAAAGCAACAAAGTCCCAAAAGTAGGTAAAGTCCCTTTAATTCCTCCAACTTGGCCCCCAATGTCCAGTTATCATCGGCTGGAGAAAAAAAAAAACTCTCCCAAGAACAGTTTTTAAAGGGAAGAAATTCAATCTGAATCCAAAGTACATCTAAATTATAAATAAAAACCAGCACAAACCACAGCTGCAGCCATTAACGAGACAGGGCAGGATAAGGAATTGCAGACTTCCAAAAGATAAGGAAACACACACAGTTGGGAGGACGCCAGAACCCAGATAAACTTGACAAACAAAAATAATGCATGCTTTGCTTCCAGCAAGGAGCTGTGTGCAAACACCCTTTTTAAATCCTGTTTTCCCAGCTGCAGCTAATGAAGGGAATCAGGGCCCTTTCCTCCCCCGTAAGGCATGTTGCTCCCTTATCTGTTCCTCCCTGCGTGCCCTAGGATGAAGAGGGGGTGGGCCTGGGTCTTCCTCTGAATGCCCAGCCAGACTGTGCCCTTCCCCAGTTTCCTCCACAGCCACCGGAGCCACACTCCCACTCCCTGTCAGCTGCTCAACCTCCCCCTCGGAATCAGATTCCAACAGGGGCATGACACTACTTGTATATAAAGAGAGTGTGTGTAACCCACACTCCCTTCTAGCACTGATGATGTTACCTAGTTGGGTCTAACAACTATGGCAACAAAAGTCATAATATGGGGCAAAACTCGCTTAACAACTGTCTCGCTTAGCAACAGAAATTTCAGGCTCCATTGTGGTCCTAAACCGAGGACCACCTGTATTCTAGCTATTGTTAAAAATGTGATGCCTACAAAGAGATACGTGTACTTTCACGGATATTCTCAACAGGTAACAACCACAATTGAGCCCAACATTTCTGTCGCTAAGTGAGACATGTACTGAGTTTTGCCCCCTTTTTACAACCTTTCTTGCTGCCGTTGTTAAGTGAATCACTGCAATTGTTAAATTGGTAACACTGTTGTTAAGTGAATTTGGCTTCCCCCATGGATTTTGTTCATCAGAAGGTCACAAAAGTGACATGACTGTGGGACACTGCAACCGTCATAAATGTGAGTCGGTTGCCAAGCATCTGAATTTTGACCACATGACCATAGGGATGCTGCAGCGGTCCTAAATGTGAAAAAGGATCCTTTTTTCCAGTGCCGTTGTAACTTTGGTCACTAAACGAACTGGTCTCTGTATTTATAGGGAATTAATGTGTACGGATTATTTTGTCTCCAAATGACCTTTAGGTTCAAAGGAGAAGACCTCACCGAGAAGGCGACAGTGTCCCATCAAAGTCTGGAAGACAAAACGAGAACTCGCCTTCCCGGGAAGGGAGAAGAGGACCAGGATGCAGACAGTGACTTGCGAAGTGGTAGCAGTGATGAAGAGGAGACGGTAGCCGAGGGAGTCCCAGAGAAACGCGGCGAGCCGAAGACTTCTGGGGCAGGCGATGGGTCCCTTCGTGGTCGCCAATTGAAGCAAAACCCAAGGGACTCCAGATCTCCCAGCGAGGAAAGACCTCCACGTTCCCCTCCAGCGGAGAAGCGAGACCGCCGAAGGGACGAAGCTCCCCAGCATGACGAAAGGAATAGCCAGAGGAGACATGGAAAGGACGAGCGAAGCCGGACCGAGGGCCATCACAGGAGGCGAGAAGACCGAGAAGACAGACACAGGAGGAAGGACTGGGAGGAGGAAGAGGAGGAGGAAGAGAAGCGAGACCAGAGGAGAGGAAGAGACAAGAAGGAACATCGGGCCAGAGAGAAAGACCGAGATGGAGACAGGGAAAAAGGACGGGGAAGGGAGGCAGACCGAGACGAGAAGCTGAAACACGCAAGGAAACGCAACTCGGGCTCCGCGGCTCAAGAAGACCCCCAACCTGAAGGGGTGAACCTTCCCAGTCCGGACAAATCCCCTGAGTTGACCCCAAAGGCTTCAGAAGAGAGCAAAGAGACCCCAGAGAAGCCGGCCGAGAAACTCAACAAATTTGCTAAGCGCAGCAATGAGGAGACGGTCTCGTCCGCCCGGGACCGTTACCTCTCTCGGCAAATGGCCCGCGTCAGCACCAAACCCTACGTGGAAAAAGAGGAAGATTAGGTGGTGGGATTGCAGGAAGGACTTTGGTTGGGGATCTCAGGGCCTTCCGAGCGGAGGGAAGACCGGGCTATTTATTTCAAAAGGTTCTGGATGCGAGAAGCGAAAGGACCGATTCTCGGAGAGAGCCGCCTTTCGTTTTAGCTCGGGAATCTGCTGGGCTGGAGAGCTTTTGAGGCTTGGCCTGGGCCGAAAGACCCTCCGAGACGTTTCCTCAAGTTCCGCAAATTTGAGGAAGGAACGCATGCAGAGGATACAAGATCAGGGATAATCTTGGTTTGTTTGTTTTTGTTTGTTTTGTTTTAAATGCAGTTGTCAAAAGATTAGTTGGAGTTTCCGTCTGGCGTTCCAGAGCCAGCAAAATAAAAGTGGAAAATAAAATAAAAAAAATATTTTAGGCTGCATTGGTGTGTTTTTTTTAATCCGTGCTAAATTTTACTTCAACTTTGTTATTTCTTGGTCCTAAAGTGTGAATTTGAGGAAATCCCCACATCCCTTTCAGCACCGGTGAGGCTACCTAGTTTGAGTAATGAAATCATCATCATCTTCATTTAACAACCCCGTCATCTCTTGCAGGGTGGCGGCTGGGCAACTGAATGGAGGTAGCCAGAGTATTTCCTGGCCAGACGCCTTTCCTGTTGCCAATACGGAGTTTTGTTCAGCAGATAAATTCTCATCGTGCCCAGAGAGAAAAAATACCTGCCTCCGCTTAGGATCGAACTCACAGCCTCCTGATTGTGAGGCGAGAGCTCTGCCTCTAGGCCGCCCTACCACACCCTTGTTCAGTGATGGCTAACCTTTTCGTTCTCGTGTGCCGAAAGTGCATGCCTGCACCCACAATGCACTGCGTGTGTGCCCACGACCCCCGTGGGTGTGCTGCACGCACCTGTGCATATGTGTGCAACCCCCCCCCCCACCCCGTCATGCGCCACACATTGTACCTATGTGCATGTGCAATGCACCTGATCTGGGGCTACAGCTCACCTGCTGGCAGACATGGCTCTGCATGCCACTTCCAGGACGGAGGCCACAGGTTCGCCACGACCCTCGTTTGATAATGAAATGTCTGCAAGAAAAGAACCCAGCTGAGAGAGAACCAAGGAAGTCTCCTCCCCTTCCTCCCCCCCTTTCTCTTTGCAACCTCCCTCCTTTGTAGCATTGATGATGTTACCTAGTTGGGTCATGAAACGTCTGCAAGAAAAGAACCCAGCTCAGAGAGCACCAAGGACCCAACTATCTTCCTCTTCTTCCTTCCTTCCTTCCTTCCTTCCTTCCTTCCTTCCTTCCTTCCTTCCTTCCTTCCTTCCTTCCTTCCTTCCTTCCTTCCCTGATGATGTTACCTAGTTGGGTCATGAAACATCTGCAAGAAAACCACCCAGCTCAGAGAGCACTAAGGACCCAACTATCTTCTTCCTTCCTTCCTTCCTTCCTTCCTTCCTTCCTTCCTTCCAGCACTGATCATGTTACCTAGTTGGGTCATGAAACGTCTGCAAGAAAGCCACCACACTCGAGAGAGAGCACCCAGTTCAACCTTGAGCTGCAAATAGTCTCTTCCGTGAACAAATACCTCGAGCCAAATCAAAAAAAAAAATGTGGGCCATAAACTAGGGAATTTCCTGCTGTGTATCAGCTTCTCTGGACCAGATCTCGTGCCAAGGGTATCAACCTGCTGTAAATCTCCCATCTTATCAAGAGAAACCTGGCAGTGGCCGTGGTTTCATAATGCGCTTCCAGCCAAACTCCGCCCCTTCCTGGCTCACTTACAACGTTTTCTGTAAGGGTTGCATCAAGACTGCTACTTCTGGGGGGGAAGGGGGGGACACCTTTTCCCAAAGAAAATTCCAAGTTGTGTGTTAGAAAACGCTTGTTTGGAGCTCTCTGTTCCATTAAAAGCAAGAATCCGCAAATTTGGACCCCTTTTAAGACGCGCGGACTTCAACTCCCAGGCTGGGGAATTCTGGGAGTTGAAGTCCGCCCGTCTTAAAGGGCCCATGGTTGGAAAACTCTTCATTAAACCCCCTTTGTCGTCAATCCGCAGCTTGTTCTCTTTTGACTCGGCGTCTGACGTTGGAAAATACCCTTGGCGTAGGATCTGGCGTTTATCTTCCCCGAACCAAGTTTCAATTTCTTAAGAGATCTTTTTGTTGGTGTGAAAAGTCTCTTTGTGTTTACATCCCGTATCCTGGAAAGCCATTTGGAGGCGGCCCTTGTATTTTTCTGGTCGCTATGGAGACAGCATGGACCATATTTTATTTTTTTACTCTTTGCAAACTCCCCAAAGAGACGCTCTCCTGTCGCTCTGCACATAGCGTGGGCGAATCTTATTAATTTTAGAATTTTAGGGGATTTCTTTCCTTGCAAATTCCCCTTCGTGGACTTTTAAAGTTTTACACCCCACGAGGATTTTCCTGATTTTTCTACTTGTTTCTTCACCCCCCCCCAAAAATAAAAAAAAAGATAGTTTTTTTTCCCACTTTTACAACTGTTCCAGCATCTCTTCGGTCACGGGATCTCAAAATGCTTGGAAACTGGCATGTACTTATGACAGCTGCGATGCTCCTGGATCATGTGATTACCCGTTTGGAAACCCGGGGAAGCCAGATTCACTTAGCAACCACGTGACTAACTTAACAAACTGCAGCGATTCACTTAAGAACAGGGGCAAGACAGTTTGTAAAATGGGACACTTAACTCACTTAACAACTGTCTTGCCTAGGAAGACAAATTTCTGGCTCAATGTTGGTCATAAGTTGAGGACTATGTGTAGTTTCTCTTAGTTTTATCATTTTTGTTTAAACACTGAATAAAGCTATTGTCGTGTTTCCCCGAAAATAAGATCCTCATAATTTTTTTTGCCACCGAAAAAGGCACCAGGTCTTATTTTCGGGGGATGTCATCCACTGACTAACCTCACTTGCGTGCGTTGCTCCCGGCCTCCTTTTCGCTGTCAGAGGCCTTCAGGAACTTCTGCGGCCAGCAAGGCTTCCCTAAAGGCCTCTGCATCTCATAATAGAGCTCAGGATCGATCCAGAGACTTGTTCTCAGCTCCAGAGGCCTTCAGGAAAGCCTTGCCTGCCTTGCTGGCTGCAGAAGAAATGGGCCGGCCAGGCAGGTGTTGGGGTGTGTGAGGCCTGGCCACACCTGTCTAAAGGTAAGTAGTAGGGCAGCTCCACCCTTCCCATCTCCACCCTAGCTTAATTTTTACCCGTCACTCCGGAGTGGGTGGGATCTTAATTAGGGCTTATTTTGGGAGTAGGGCTTATATTGGGCGTATGTGTAAAAATCCAGCTAGGACTTGCTTTCAGGGTAGGTTATATTTTTTGGGGGGGAAATGGTATATTAAAAAATAAGTGTTTCCAGTATCTAAAATTGATTAAAACGTGTCAGGCAACCAGCTGTCTTCATTTCAGCCAACACGTCCTCTTCCCCCCCCAGAATCTTTCCATTTTAGTCAATCATTTGTCACCAGAAAGGCGGAGAGTACAACTTCCATTTTATTGTCACACTCACTTTATTACAACATTACTTGGACGTTGCGAGACACCAAACGAAACACACACTCCACTTGGCACATTCCAGAAAGGCAGCAATGTAAGATAACAAGATAGGTGGCCTATCGCACCATCGAGCGCCTTGTTCTGTAAAAGAAAACTCCAGTTTTTTTTTTTCATGTATTGATTCCTCTGTACAAAAAAAAATGACAACGCACAAGTTCCAGGTTTGCACGGAATGGGAGGGGGGGCTTTGGCTTTAAGAAAGGCTTCAACCAGGTTTGTTCGACTTTGGCTGCTTTTAAGACCTGTGGACTTCCAATTCCCAGAATTCTGGGAGTTTGAAGTCCACAAGTCTTAAAAGTAACCAAGATTGGAGAAACCTAGTTTTAAAGCCTTTTCTGCAGTGATCCACTAACCCAGTTCTGCAGCCTTAAACACGCCAAAGAACCATTTGGACCCATTTCCCACAGAAAACAGGCCAAGCGAGCAGTGACTGGGAGGGGAGAGGCCAGCCAGTGGTGAGATCAGCCGATGGAGCCGCATATGGCTCTAGAGCCATGGGTTGCCGACTCCTGCACTAACCCGGAAGAAGCCAATTCTTCCGGATTAACAAATCCATTTGAGGTCTATTTTCTTGGAGACATTAGAGCAAGGGTCTTCAAAC